CCAATTCCTTCGCACTGTCTCCTCCATGGTTTGAGTGTCTTTTCCAAGAATATTTTATACAGAGTAGGGGACGTAGCACAGCCTTGTAGAAGCTCCTCTTGTCGTCTTAAATGGATTGTAGGCTTTATTTCCACATTTAATAGCTACTTTGTTTTTTTTTGTACAGTGCTTTAACTGCTTTTATTAGTGTTTGTCGGATTCCGAGATCATTCATTGCTTCCCATAATTTGACTCTAGGTATTGAGTCGTATGCTTTCTTTAGATCAACAAACGCCAGATGGACCGGTCTACCTTTTGCCATTTTCTTCTCTATCAGTTGTTCTAATGTGTACGTATGATCTAGGCATGATTTTCCTACTGTGAACCCTGCTTGGTCTTCTCCAATTTTTCCTATTATTTCAGTTTCTGGTTTTTCCTTGATCATTTTCCCGTGAAGTCTACCTACCGACGATATTATACTAATTCACATTTCACAGTAGTTTTTACATTTTTTTCCTGTTTCCTTTCTTATGTATGGATGTGATGTATGCTTGTGTCCATTCCGCAGGTATTTCCTCTCCATTTAGTCCTCTTTCGAACATTCTGTGTAGCATGCGGAATAACTTTTCCGTTCCGTTTTTAATTAGTTCGTTTGGTATCCCTCCGGGTCCTTTGGCTTTTTTGTTCTTCAATGTCTTGATTGCTCTCTTGACCTCTGTCAGACTTATTTCTATCTGGTCGTATGTCCCATTTCCTGCAAGTTCTGTATTCTCTTCCTGAAATTGGGGACGGTTTTCTGTAAGTAGTTCTACGTAGTATTCTTGCCACTCGTTTTGACTAATTTTGCCGATCTGGGTTTTCTCCGTCTTGTTTCGTTGGAGTGCTGTTAATATTCGCCATGATTATGAATTTCTCGTTCCTCCGATATGTCGTTCTATCTCTGTGCATGCTTGTTCTCATCGTTCGTTCTTTTCATTTGTTACTCTTTTCTTTACCTCTCTGTTTTTCGCTCTATATAGGTCTAAGTCTCTCTGTTTTTTGGTGTTTAGTTATTTTATGTGTAGTTTTTTCTTTTCTTTTATACATTTCAATGTGTCTTCCCTTAATTTAATATTCTAATGGGTGTTCCTTTGGGCGTCTTCTCCAAGAGCTTCTAAGGCCGCTGAAATCAGGCAGGTTTTTATGTGTTCATGCATTTCATCTAACGTGTCATATCTGAATTCTTCTAGTTTTTGGTCTAGTCTTCTTTTGTATAGATCTTTTATTGATTCTTACTCTACTAGATGTAATTTGAGCCTCTTTTCGTTTATTGTCGTTCTCGTTGTAACAATCGAGGTATGTTTTTGTTTTGTCCAGATATAGGGAAATTCCATCCATGCCACCACAAGTTTGTGATCTGTTCCACACTCTTTTGGGCTCTCTGTGCCCCTCTTTTCACTCTGGTGTCTCACTTTGATGGAGCTTTTGTGGTTCATGATAATGTAGTCAATAATGGATCTTAGTTTTCTTGTCTCTTGAGTCCATGTGTACTTATGTATATTTTTGTGTTTGTAGAATCCGTTCATAATTTTCAAATCATTTACTTCACATAGTTCTATCAATCTTTCTCCGTTGTCGTTAATTGTGTCTTCTCCAAATCTGTTCTGTCATTGTCTTTTCTTCCGACTCTTCCATTTAGATCCCCCACTATTATTATTTCTTGTTTAGGTTTTCTCTTATCCATTTGTTCCTGAAGTTGTTCTATAAATCGTTCTTTCTCATTGGCTGAACTGTCTTCCGTTGGACCGTATGTTGCTAGTATTATAATTTCTCTGCCATACATCTTGATTTTCAGTTTGGCAATTCTCTCGTTTATGGGTTCCCAATCGTCTATAGATTTTTCCCATTTCTTCTTTAGTAGAATTCCAACTCCAGCTTTTGCGCGGTCTTTCTTTATTACTCCGCTCCAACAATGGATTAGTTCCCCTATTATTTTAGTGCGGTTTCCTTTCTTTTTTGTTTCCGTTTTGACGAGGATATCGAGATTCATCTTTTCGATTTCTGATGTTACTTCACTGGCTTTTGTTCTCCAGCCCTGCACATTCCATGTGCCGATTCTTAGTTTTCTCTGTTTTTGTCTACGGTAGAGTTTCGAAGCCGGGTTTGTTAAACTCAAAGCAGAAGTGCCCATCCCCCGTATCCGATGGGGCTCCCTGTGGATTATACCCGGGGATTAATTTTAAAATTTCTCATTTCTGCCAATTGTTCGTTAGCCCTTGGATTTTTTAAGAGTGCTAGGTTGCTAACGCCTAACGCCATAACCCCCTTTTGGAAGACCTATTGTTCATCCGCCCACTCTGGGTCAGACGCTACTGTTGTCAGTTGGTCCGCGTCGGGTATTTCATTTCCCCGATACCACCCATATCTGGGAGGCGTTCCCCTATCCGCCACCTGGGGACGCGTCCGGTAGAGGACTGAGATCCTCCTCGGAGTACAGCTGCAACTAATCGATAATATTCTTATGGAACATGTTTTCAACTCTAAACGTGACGTAATAAAATTTGTGTTACCAAGTGGGGCTGGAAAGAAATCATTATGTCTCAAAAGTACTCATGCTGCATTATACAGACGGTCAGACATCCCGGAGAATTTATTAAAAGCAATTAGTTGCAACTGTGCTGCGAAACCACAAAGTTGTAAATGTAGCTCAAAACAACATGGACTTCAATGTACCGATCTGTTTGAAATGTTGTGATTCAGGAAACTATTCAAATATTGAAATAAGTTTTCAAAATAGAAGTGATTTGAAATACCCAACACGTAGACAAAGAGACAAATGTAGCCCCGCACCCGGATTATTTATTTGAAGAATCAAGTGATGAGGATGACGAACTTCGAACTATAAAATATTCACTCAGACTATCAAAACGATAAAAATTTAAGAAAAAGAAAGATATAGTTTTAATATTACTAATTTTTTATATAGATTTTTAATTAACTTTTATTAGTGTATTGTGGGAAAAGAAATTGTTTTAAATAAGTACAATTTCTTAGATTAAATCTTAAATACAATTTCTTATTTATGTTTTTCTGACACAATCTACTGGTCTAATAAACTTTTTAATTTGCTTATAATTTTTAACAAATCAACAAAAAAAATCAAATTAAAAAAATTATTTGTTTAAGGTTTTTCAATTTTTATGTATCTTTTTTAAACAGGAATCACTTTGTGTTTTGATTTCATCAAAAAGTATATATTTTAACGAAGAGAATGAGCTCTATAAGAAGAAAAAGAAACAAAAAAAACTAATATGTCGGAAACTTTTGGATTTTTTTATACCTAGTTTTATTAAAATCAAAAAACATCGAAATAAAAAGCCGATTTTTTTCATTTTCTCGGTAATTTTGGGGTTTGGTTAAAATATTATACAGGGTAAACCAAAGGAAGCCAATATTTCGCGAAACGAACATTGGATCGAAATAATGAAAAACACGTTTCAATATTTTTTAAAAATCTGTCGAATGATACCAAACACGACCCCCCAGCATCGCCCCCTAGAGCGGGAAGCAACTTTGAAATTTTAAATGGGAACTCCCAATGTTTATTGCAGATTTTGGTTTATCAAAATAAGCAACATTTTTTTTTTCGAATTGTTGATACATGGCGCTATAATCAAAAAAACGTATCGTAATACCTTAGGAAACTTATAGAAACAGTCTAATATCTCGAGAAATAGACTTCCAAATAAAAAACCAAAAAAGACGTCTTCAATATTTTTCAAAAATCTATCAAATGACACCAAACCCGACCCCCCCACACCCATCCCTTGGGGATAGGATAGGGGAAACTTTAAAATCTTAAATGGAAAACCACAGTTTTATTGCAGATTAGGATTTTACGTGATAAAGTAAACAAGTTTTTTCTCTTTCTTTTCGGTTCGCCGTAGGTGCCTTTGTCATTATAGAAAAATATATACAAATTAGAAATCTGCCACACAAAAAATGTGATGGTACTGAATAAGTTTTTTAAGAATATTTTGTAGAATGAGAATCTGCAATAACAAATGGTGGTTCCTATTTAAGATTTCAAAGTTTCCCCGCTCTCAAAATTGATTTCTCATTTCAATTTTAAAAAATATTGAAAACATAGATTTCAGTTTTTTTTTTCGTTAGTTCATTTCTTGAGATATTAGATCGTTTCCATAATTTTCCTAGGTATAAGGATCAACCGTTTTTACCGATTGTAACGTCAACGTATCAAAAATTTAACAAACATGTCCCGAATAAAAGCTATTTATTTTTTCACAGGGAATCGAAATCTGAAATAAATCGATGAGGGTTCCTATTTAAGATTTTAAAGTTATTGTAATTGAATACGCGAAACAATTCAAGTGCAGTCAAATTGAAATTGCTAAAAAGTTTGGAATTGCACAAGCCCAGGTAAGCAAATCTTTTAAAAACCAAGACAGTTTGATCAACTATTGGCGACCTAATTAAAAATCAACCCAAAAACCAAAACGCCGTGGGAAAGACTCAGATGTCGAACAGGAATTACTTAAATGATTTACTGAGAAGAGAGCCCGCAGTGTTTCTACCAGCGTTCTAGTTTTAAAAGAATAGCCGAAAATTTGGATTATGCGAGATTGAGACGAATGGATGGTTATGCAGATGGAAAAATCTATCACAAGTTTCCTTCAAAAAAATTGCTGGAGGAGCGAAAGATGCCGCATATAATTTATAGCAAAAATGTGGAGAGGAGACACGTGACACTCGCTTTGTTTTTAAAAACGGCTTTGGAATAGAAATGCGCTTTTTACATGTAGTTTAGTGTAGTGCACGTTTACCTACCAGAGAAAGGTAGGTCTATACTTTCTTTATCGATTATCAAAAGGCGTTGGATAATGTAAGACATAGATCATTTACACAGACATTCGAGGAAGTTGTTTTCGATGACAAAGGTATAAGGATAATCGAACAACTATTGCTATATTTAACAAATACTACTAATACTATAATAAACAGATAACTATATTAATAATTACCTGTAGATATGGTAAAGTTGAAATATTTGAGACCTTGTCAGTTCTGAATAATATCTACCGATTTGATTTTGGGTAGCTCCTCTTCCAGCATTTTTCCATTCCGGTTGAATAAGATGTTCTAGTTTTGCTATTTTAATTAAATACATTTGGTCTTCTTGTAGCGTTTCTACGTGCGCTATCACTTGAAAATTAAACATGCAGGGAGTGCAAAATTCTACAATGGGTGCCCAATGCATGTCCAATTGTTCTCTATTTTTAACCGAGTCTACCAAATACTCCACAAATTCCGAAAATGTCGGTGATCTTTGAGTTGGAGATAATTTTTTGTTCTAAAAGCAAAAAATATATTGACTATATATATATATATATATATATATATATATATATATATATATAGTATTCAGGTTTATTGGGATTTTCAGCGGTGAAATAAGTGTACTTTTTTAACTAAGTTTCAAGCTTTCGAAAATGTTTATTTTCATCATCAGGAAAAACTGAAAATAAAGTGCTGCTGTTAGTAAAGCATCCTCGAAATCTATTAAGTGAAAAGGTTGTACAAAGAGAAGGAAACACTTACGTTATTGAGGTTTGTCTTTCGTGGATGTTCTACTTACAGGCAAATATATATATTTATATATATATATATATATATATATATATATATATATATATATATATATATATATATATATATATATATATATATATATATATCGTCGCCTCAATACTACAACTAGGTAACTCAAATATAACACTTCTGAGAAAAACGCATTTAAAGATTTTTGCAAAGTTTGAATTCCTCTCTAGCCTAAAGTTGACAAAATATTAAAGCCATATTCCGTTTTTAACATTCTTACCTTCTTTACTAACCATCCATGAGGTTTAATAATGTATATATTTTCCAAGATTAGGAATATCAGGAGAAAAGTTGGAAAAGTCCCAGTTATCTAGTTGTTGCATATACCAAAATCTCAGTTATGTACTTGTTGCAATCTATATGTTCTTGTATTGGCCCTTGTTTTTGTTAAAAAAGAACTACTAGAAGTTATTTTTCAATTCTTAAGGTAAAAGTATAAACTTTTACACATAAAAAATTAAAATTGGGTAGGTACCTACTAATATTTAAAACAATATTTACAAAAAACTACCTACTTTATGAATATTGATATGAAACAATTTGTAATTTCTGAGGAGGCACAAATAGAGAAGTTCTTTAAGGGTCACCTTCGTAGTCTTGACCGTCATCTATTTTACTTAAATCTTCTTTATTGTCGTATGGCAGACTGGTGTAAAATGGCCTGTAAGAATCTCCCAAAGCAGGTGGTTTCACAGAATATCAGATCTTTATATTTTTGTATAGATATTGAAACCAATTGTTGATACAAAGGTTGTAAAGGCGACTGAATTGAAGTGCGGGTCCGTTTGATTTAATTTAAGTGTCTAAAACCTTCATCAGAAAATAATACTTTGAACTCCATAATAAACGGCTGTGACTTCCTAAATCTTAGCCAGCATATCTTTTGCCAAAGAACAGCGATTCCTTTTTCATCCCTTTTCCCAATAGTTAAGTTATTCCCTACAAATTTTTTGAAATCTTTTATGTCAGATTGATCCAAATCATGAACAAAATAAGGTTTGTCTCCCTTTCTTCTGGCCTCCTGAGCAATTTGCTTTCAATCATCAGGCCACAAAGCTTTCCCTGCACGTTTGAATTCTGTGTTAATTGCACAGTGAATGGAATCACATTCCATCTCACTGTTCCCAGAAACCAAGAACTTCACATAAATGACTTTCAGGTTATTTAAATCATTTACTGCCTTCATTAACATTGCTGCAGTACACTGATTCAAGTTTTTGGCCTCCACATATGTCACTAAAAAAGGTGACACAGGTTGTTGTTTTTAAAAGTGATCTAAGATAAAGATAAATTGCACTGGCTATTTCACAACTTCCTCGAGCTCCTTGAGTCTCATTTCAAATGAAACAACCTCCTTGCTTGCTGACAACGTTGTAAATGGTGAAATTGTAGTTAGCAAGCCTATGTTTATAGAAGAGTGCATTATTTGTTGGATTATATAGTACTAATAAAACTTGCTGGAGATCAAAATTGGCACATATGTGTGATTCACATATTAGAAAATTCAGCATCAATTCGATCTTTTAAGTTTTTCGGTTCTAGCTTTATCCTTAAAAAAGAGATAAGCTTCATAATCTATTTTAAGCAACGGTTTCTCATCAGTGGTTGCACTAATATAATGAGAACAAACACGACACTGATCTTTTTTAGGATGGTGGAAACCTAGATTGAAATTTTCATTCAAAATTTTTCTATACATGGCCAAACTAACTTTTTCTGCAGCTCTTGAATCACACAATTCACAATAAAGTCTATACATCAGAGTAATATTTAAGGATGAATCAAGATAATGTCATTCAGTAGATGATAGACTATAATGGGTAGGCACAGTAGGAAAGCTTTCAATATGTGAGTTAACATTTTCCAAAACTGTTGAATTAGTTACTTTTTTCACGTGTTTTTCCCTATTATCACCCTCTGTTTTATTTTCAGATATTCGCTTTTTCATAGCAGTATCAACTACTCCCTTCTTAATTCCTAGTGTATTGATAAACATCGTCTTACAAACTTTATTTCTTTCATTATTGTTCAGGAGAAAAAATGTTACTGAAATGTTTCGTTTCGACTGTAATGATGTAGTACATTTTTAGAATTTTTATCTCTGTTACTATGAATAAAATCCAGTTGTCTATTATAATTTGCCAGTGCATAGTAACCTTGAAAAATTCTCGTTCTGTCCAATTCAGTTAGTTTACTAGAACACTGGTTTCGGGAGTTGGTGGGGCAAGCAGGTTTCATTGATACTTCAGGAATGCTTTTGTTTCTTAAAGAAACATAAGCTTCCCCTTTGGCACTTTTCTCTTTACGCAGATTTCAGAAAACAAATAAGTAATTATTCATGAAAATATCTAACGGACAAAATCTTCGTCAATGGTGACAACTCAGTGGTTGTATTTTTCAAGTGACCTTACTTACGTGCTACAACTAGGTAAGTGTAGTTGTATAGTTGTGTGACTATCAGCTTAGTCATTAAATGTGCAACAAGTAGATAACTTAAGATACTGAGTTGTAGTATTAAACGAAGGATGACTTATAAAGTTATCTACTTTTAAAAGTTAGTTATATTGACTCATAGGGTTCGTTTTGAATTATCTAGTTGTAGCATAACATGAAGATGATATATTTACATCTATTGGTAAACTTATCCCAAAAATGAAAATTTTCGAGTTATCTAGTTGTAGTATTGAGGTGACGATATATAAACAACACAGTTTATTAGGGCTGCCGTCAGAAGTTTGACGGAGATGTTAAAGAAACACTCTTTTGACTTTTTGTCTAGCTTTCGGAATGGTTTTATTCCTTTTTCAAGACACTGTTATAAGACAAATATGTAAATATTTAACAAATATCATAATTCTTTAGTGTAACTTACTAGTCGTTAAGATTATTTATAAAATCATTGACACTCAACATTGATAATACACATTAAAATATAAAATCATGGACAAAATACATTCTAAAATTTTTTAAATTTAGGTTAAAGATAGTAAAACTTAGTTTATGGCATGTTTTACTGATGTGTAGTCTATTCATATGCATAAAGAATAGAAAATATATGTACATATACAGGGTGTTTCAAAAGTATGTCATAAATTAAATCACGCAATCCGGGGACAAAATAAATTAATCGAATCCAACTTACCTTAATACAAAAGTATACACAAAAAAGTTACAGCTCTTTGAAGTTACAAAATAAAAATTGTTGTTTTTTGGATTATCTCCTAAACTACTTGACATTTTTTAATAAAAATGGACACGTTACTTTCTTGTTCTGAAAGCATTTTTCATAAAAAAGAAACAACAAAATCTAAGCGCACAGAACAATTTTAAGGGGGGTGTGCAGCCCCAAATCCCCCCAAACTTTTGAGTAAGTTTAAATCAAATGAATTTTGTGGCATCATTAGTTTAACACATTATTTTTAAAACTTTTTTGCTAGTTTTTTCCTAGTTGGCCATAAAATTACAATTAGTTTCTACAGATACAATAATTACAAACAGTTCCATCAATAATAGTCAATAATTTGAAGCTATCATTTATTGTGTGAATAAGATTATTAATAAAACTTTTTGATATTGCAATGGCCTACACATTTCAGGAAATGGCAGATATGCATTTAACTTTGAGTAAGTTGGATCAGATTAAATTATGATTTCAATAAACTATCGGGAATATCGTAAGTGCATGTCAAGAAAATAGTGCAGCAGCCGCAAGGCGTTATGCAGTAAAATACCTCAATCGAAATACACCCGATAGACTATTATTTCTGACCATTAATCATCGTTTACGGGAAACGGATACATTCCAACTGCAAGTTGTTGGCAATAGTGGTCGTCCAATAATGGATGCAACTGATGAAGACATTTTAGAAATCATTGAAGAAGTTCCTTGAACAAGTACAAAGGTAATAGCTGCTCAACTAAATGTTCCTCACGTAAGGGTTTGGAGGCGTTTGAAGGATCAGCTGCTTAAACCTATTACTTAACAACGGTTCAAGAGTTATTGGTTGAAGATTATCCTAAACGGATTGGATTTTGCGATGGGTTGTTAATGGAAAACACTTGAAATGTTAATTTTATTTGAAATATTTTGTTTGAGTCTACCTTCAGTAGAAATGGAATAAAAACCATTATAACGAGCACATTTGGGCCGACGAAAATTCTCACGCCAAAAAAACGACTGTTCAATCACAAATTAATCCCTTAATTTGTAATCTTACATTATTCTTAAATTCTTAACCTTTTATAGTTTTACTGTGTGTAATTGAAACATTGTGAAAACATATCGTGTAACATTTTAATAATTAGTCCATTTACCTGCAACGTAATAAATTGCCGAATAATATATTTTTCAATTGAATAATATATTTTCCAAATGAACTTCCCAAGTGTTGCAATTACGGACTAGATTAAGTTGTATTGTAAGCTCATAGTTCAAAATTTGTTAGTATGATAAAAGCAATAACCTCTGTGCTGAGGTATACATTATTTGTGAGATCATAAATTAGAGATTTGAGCTCATTTGAATCTGCTATAAATAGTTACCTAACCAACATCTATAGTGTAATTATTAGTAGCTGTTAATAAAATCATAATTTTTACTCCACAACTTCAACGTTTTATTGTATGTATCATCGTCGATAGAGAAGAGGTGGACAAAGAGGCATTACAAAACGAGTCGATCTTTATATTCGA